GGTGATAAGCTCACAACAAGGCAATTGGACACCTTGACTCCCCGTGCGGGTACCAAATACAACACACAACTCATTTTCCAAAATCCGACTCAACTATCCAGATTCATATGCTATTTACCCCCTTTGACATTTTCCAAACATCCACAAGATTGTAGAATCACTTGAGAAAATTATAATGCACATGATACATGAGTTTTTAAATCCAATTTACCTAAGGTTTATTCAATTCACAAACAACATTTAATAATATCAACAATAAAAGATTTCTCCAACCTCTCAATTTCACAATCTCAACATTCATCTATCTCAATACATATATTCAAGAAAGTTCAATAACCTCTTGTTTCAACACCATTTCCATAATCATCCACCCAATTTCAAGATTTGAGAGTCAATTGAGCCAAACTCCATTATTTAATCAAGTTTAAAAATTAGGGCTTTTGAGAAAATTGGGGTTTTCCCATCTTTTACACTTAAAGGGTCAATTTTCATCATCAACAACAATAATCAACAAGAACATTCATAATATTTCCCAAAACATTAGGTATAAACATCCTTTTTGTTTATCAAACCCACTTTATATTACAAAATCATCTCATACATCACTATAACTAAAAAAATACCACATATATATATATATCTCAGATCATAGATATATCAAGTTAAAAGTAATCCTACCTCAAGAATGAAGACAAAGAGATAAAGATCCAACTAGAAACTTCGAAGAAATGAGAAACAATCAGTAAAAATCTTGAATCAAGCTTGCTCTTCAATAGATAAGGGGAAAAGTTAGAATAGATAGTCAAAAAATTTGAACAAATAGTTAAAAAATTTGAACAGATAGTTAAAAATTTGAACAGATAGTCAAAAAAAGTTAACAGATAAAAATTAATAGATAAGCTAAGGAGTAAAATTAGAAACTAAATGTCTTTCAAAATAAACAAAAAGACTTCTCACCAAATTGTTTCTCACTAACAAAAAAATATTCACTGGACTTAACGCCTTATATCCTTCTTAGCATAGACTTTTCAACAATTATCTCTTTTTTTATTTGGATTTTACATGTAAGCATTATTATCATTTGGAGAAAAAATTATCTATAAGGAAAAAATTTGTACAGAAGTCCCTTCTCTCTTCTCTCACCAGTTATGACACCATAAGCTTAAGTTGTTAGGAAAAGAGAAAACTTCTTTGATATCATATTAGCCCTGTTTGGTAGAGCTGTGGGAAAGTGCTTATAGTTTATACCTTAACAGCTTATAGCTTATAACTATGAACATAAGTTGATTTCTGACTTATAAATTAAGCTTCTCCTGCCCCACTCAAAGAATAAGTTGATTTCTGACTTACAAAAAGCTATAAGTTGTATTGTTAAGCTAAACCAAACACATCAAAATAGCTTAAATTAAGCTGAAAGCTGAAATAAGCTAAAATTAAGCTGTACCAAACAGGGCCATTAAATTATTAACACAGACTTTTAAAATAAAAGAATAACTTTATTATTTATATTATATTCTCAACACGTCTCCTAACAAGCAAATTTTTTTTGTTGCATATGCCTACTTGGGAAAATTTTCTTTATGCAACGATCCATTCTCTCTTACCCTAAGCAAATTTTTTTAATTGCACATGTCTATTTGGAAATTTTTTCTTTTTTTCAACTATCCTTTCTCTCTTTCCGACTTGCTACTTCACCTCTTCTAATAAGCAAAATCTTTTACACCAATTAAACAGGAAGACCTCTTATATATTTTTATGTTGTTATACAGATGGGTCGTGTAGAGGTATTTGGTAAATTCTTTTGTTACGGGTTAAGAAAGAATTTTTCGAAGAATTGCAAAAGATGTTTGTAACGATGAATTCTAAACTCGACAAATAACAACCAATCAATTTTGTAAGATTGAGGAGAGAGCTCACAGTGAAAATCATGATGGTGATTAGTCCTTCGGCAATGGCTTTATCTAATTTTTTTATATAAATATTTTTTTAACTAATTTTATAAAAATAAATTATTCGAATTATTCAAGTAAACCTAGTGGAGGAAAACCAACTAATTTTGCAAGATTGAGGATAGTTCTCACAGTGAAAATCAAAATAATAACAGCTAAACAAAGACAAAGGTCTCATGACTTTTGAGCATTCAATTGCTCATCAAATAACCACACTAGTTTTCCGGTGATTCTATTTGCACTTAAATAATAATTAAGTATATTTACTAATAAGGTCAATACACATTAAATTATAATATAAATTTACTAATAAGAACAATACATTATACGTATTCTTTATATTCATCTTTCTTTATCATCTTCTCCAATTTTCAATTATTTTCTCTTCATCTTCTTTTTCACTCTAAAACTCCAATCCACTTCACTAAACTAACCATTATCATCAATATCATTATTATATAGATATTTTATTTTTGTCCTTTCACTACAAGAAATTTCACTTTTGGCGACTAATATATTTGCTCACCAATAGTTCTTTGGGGAAGACAATCAGCGACTAAAATTTTTTTGGTAGCCAAAAGTGACCTATCGGCGACTAAAACTTTAATCGCCATATATTTTTTAAAAATAATTAAATATATATATTTTTTACTTTTAGCGACTAAATTATTTAGTAGCTAATTGAGCATGTATGTTTGACAACTAATTATTTGGTAGCCAAAAGTTTCACTTTTTGAGAATTGGCGACTAAAAATTTAGTAGCCAAAAGTTTCCTTTTTACAATTGGCGACTAAAAGTTTAGTAGTCAAAAGTTTCACTTTTTGACAATTGAGACTAAAATTTTGGTAACCAAAAGCCAACTTGTGATATTTGTTTAGTCGCCTAAAGGTTTCATTTAGTTTTTATAATTTGTTTTGTAATATTTTTTGCGTCACCTATAACCTGTGCATATACGAAATTATTCACCCATCCATTCATTCATTTAATTCTCAACCATTCAATAAAAATATTTCCCCACAACCTGTAGCATTCAATTTTCAACCATATACAAAACTTAACTATTAACCGTACATATCGAAGAAAATAAGAATCCATAAACATAGTATAATCCAACAAATACATATACTATCCAGACCAACAATTAAAATCCAAATTAAAAAAAAAAAATCTTAATAACAAAACATACCAGATGTACATGTTTTCCATAAAAAAAAAAATATAATGTAAATTACACCCATGCAAACATCATCAATCTGGCCCAAAAACATCACTGTATCCATGCCAACCTCATCAATCTGTAACAAAACCAGTGAGGTAACTAATAAAAAATGTAGAGCCTGATTTTTGTTTAAACAGAATATGGTTCAGTTTATTTAACAATATGCAGAAGGAAAAAATTAGATAACTAACTCAGTTGAATTTAGATGAATAACACAACAAATATATCAATCGATATAGTAAGACTAAATAAAGAAAAACCAGTGAATGATTCTTTTTAGCTTAACAGATTGTTATTTCAAAGATTTCAACTAAAATAGGCAAATAACGATTTATGAGGATATACACACAATATCAGTTATACAACAACAAATATACCAACTTATGAACTTATAACTTAGGTGAATAACAGAATGTGTTCTAGTTGATTTACAAATGAGTTCAAGCTACCACAGTCAATAAAATCAAATATATCAGTTAATGATGAAACACAAGATGAGCTATTAGTGACGAGCTAACTGAAAATGCAATGAATGAATATTGACTAAACAATTTGTGAGTTATAGAAAGAAATAAGCACTAGTTTCAACTGAAGGGGTGTTTGGGAACCCAAAGTTGAGGCTAAAATAGCCTCAAATACAAAAAAAGCCAAATAGCCTACTAAACTAATAATTTATATTTATAAAAAAAAAAAAAACAAAAAACAATGCAGCCTGCAGTCAGCAGTGGGTAGGGTCAGCCTAGTCCCACAGGCCGAAATGACACTTTTGCCCCTATAGGCCAATTTTGGAAAAAGTAAAGTTAGGGACAAATTTGTCATTTCAACTTCAAACATCATTTCAAACACATTTTTCAATACAACAATTCAAATAAAAATCCATCCTATCTTCCCAAACATAAAAACTAAAATAACCTACTAAAATAGCCAAAAAGCCAATCAATCAAGTCAGAGAAGGTAATGGAAATTTTAGCTCAAGAAATCAAATACTTAATAAAGTGACTAACAATTTTCAAATCACAATATACCCAAGGAACAGAGTGTCATATTAAACACATATGGTTTAAGATCAAAGATTTCAAAGGAAAAAAGAGAAAAAAGTTTAAGAATACTTGGATCAGATATTTGTCACCCTAGATACGATCTCATTGAACCCTAGAGAAAGAAAGAACATAGAGAAACCATCATATATAGAGTTTCAAATTAAAGCTCAAATGAAGTTGAATCTGGTGTTAATTTGTGCAAGAGCCTTGCATACATTATGGGTATAATTTCCATCCATAGAGAAGAGGAAGAAAATGAAAAGGCACCACCAGCTAAAATAGAAGTTTGGATTCACAATTTGCATGTGCGTTTCCGTTTACTCTTGTCTTACAGAATATAAAAGTTCACTTGACAAAGGATATTAAAATCATACCACAGTTACAAACCAGATCCATTTTATAGTCTGGGAAACTCAATATCCAAACGATTATAACTTTTTGATGCAAAAGCTTTTTAAAATTTATTTTACCAAATCAATCTACACATTTCTAATCCCACATAAATACAATTGTATACTGTGGGCGGAATAGGGAAAATAAACACAACAATAAGTCAAACTACCAGAGTTACAAAAAATTATCACCATCTACCTTTACGACTCTAGATGAGATCATGTGTACATATGCAGATGCAATGATCTAAAATGGGTCATTTTTTAAAGAAGCAACAACTTAACAGGCATATTTGAAGGGGCAGAAAGTAAAAGATAACAAAAATTCACTACTAGAAAAATAATTTTTTACGTCTATCTTTATGCGACTGATTATTGGACCGTCACCAAAAAAAAACAACTATTTGCAACAAGCAAAAACTTGTGAGCCTACTATTGGGAACCCACTCAGCCCAATTTACCTGTGAGCCGAAGCAAGAACTCTTATTTCCCCCGAATCTGATTGTGTAAAACTTGCCCTAGACTCAAACCAAACCAAATCTGATTTCGCTCTAGACTCACAAATCTGATTTCCCATGGTGGAAGTGTGCTGGGTTCTCCTCATCCATTCTCATTTCCCCCAAATCTGATTTCGCTCGATCGTGTCTGAGTAAGAGAATCGGATTTCCCTCTCTCGATTTCTCTCTATAGATCACCATGGTCTTCTGAAGAAGAGATCTCCAACGGTATGAACTCTCTCTCTCTCTCTCTCTCTCTCTCTCTCTCAGTGAGTCTCTTCAAATCATCATTCGTATTTCAACATCTTCATCTCTCTACTTCGATCACTTGTTTCTTATCATCTGAACTCACTGTAGTTCGATCACTTTTTCGTCAATCTATTGATTTTTCCACCAGGTAGTCTGATTCTGGAAACAAGCTTTGGTTCGAATCAATCCTTCCTCATCTGCTACAGGTACAAGCTTAACCATTCAATTCTTAATTGACGAGTTTTACGTTTTATAGAATTGAGAAATCCGCAATTCTGTCAATACTATAGCCTCTTTCAATTTTAAGAATTTTACTGTAATTTGTGACTCAAACCAAACCAAATCTGATTTCGCTCTAGACTCACAAATCTGATTTCCCATGGTGGAAGTGTGCTGGGTTCTCCTCATCCATTCTCATTTCCCCCAAATCTGATTTCGCTCGATCGTGTCTGAGTAAGAGAATCGGATTTCCCTCTCTCGATTTCTCTCTATAGATCACCATGGTCTTCTGAAGAAGAGATCTCCAACGGTATGAACTCTCTCTCTCTCTCTCTCTCTCTCTCTCTCTCTCTCTCTCTCAGTGAGTCTCTTCAAATCATCATTCGTATTTCAACTTCTTCATCTCTCTACTTCGATCACTTGTTTCTTATCATCTGAACTCACTGTAATTCGATCACTTTTTCGTCAATCTATTGATTTTTCCACCAGGTAGTCTGATTCTGGAAACAAGCTTTGGTTCGAATCAATCCTTCCTCATCTGCTACAGGTACAAGCTTAACCATTCAATTCTTAATTGACGAGTTTTACGTTTTATAGAATTGAGAAATCCGCAATTCTGTCAATACTATAGCCTCTTTCAATTTTAAGAATTTTACTGTAATTTGTAAGTATTTCAGTCCTATAGAATTGCTGATTTCTATAGCCTCTGTTGAACTCACTGTAATTAATCCCACAAGCAAACAGGGCTTCATATTTCACCTTGGTCATTGTATTTACTTCCTACTGCACTTGCAGTCAAGCTCGAATGTGAATTCTCATTTTTGCTTCTCAAAACTTGAGATTAACAATGTAAACAATGACAACTGCTTTTAGGAAGTGAGATGATTCTATGTACGATGAACATAACAAATTAGGGCAAAAACATTGTTCCATGAAAAGGAAAAACATCTCTCTCTCTCTCTCTCTCTCTCTCTCTCTCTCAAGCTGTTAGATTGAAGGAATCAGCAATTCTATAGAAGTCTGATTTCACCTCTGGCCATACTGACTCTGGTGCCTGTGCATTCAGAGTGAACTTTATTTCCTCAGTTAGCTAAGTAATCTGTTAGTTTAGTTTTTAACTAGAAAGTTTACTACTTATTACTTAACCTAGAGCACCTTAACAAAATATAGAAAGAGCCAGTGGGGATTGGGACAAATCAGTTAAGTTGGGTTCATACACCTCTGCTATTTTGATATTTCCTTGATTCTAGTGAGGTAAACATATGTCTGGTTTATGCTCAATCTGATTGGGATTTTCTCAACTTATAGCAGATGCATTTTACCTCTTTCGACTTTATGGATGTTTTTCTAACGATATTATATATGGCTTACTTTTGTTGTCTTTTCTTTCTTTGTCAATCCTATAGCTAAGATAAGCAGTGGTATAACAGTGTGCAAGCTCTACATGTAGGTTAATTAGATTCTGAGTTTGTTTTGTTTAGAATTGGGGATATCAATCTCAAATGTGCAATCAATTGGATATGATTATGGGACATGCCTCACATTCTCAAATGTTGTGGGGAAATTTTTGTTTTCTGCTTGTAAGTTGCATGAGGACTGCACATGCATCTTTTTACATAGCTAAGATAAGCAGTGGTATAACAGTGTGCAAGCTCTACATTTAGGTTAATTAAATTCTGAGTTTGTTTTGTTTAGAATTGGGGATATCAATCTCAAATGTGCAATCAATTGGATATGATTATGGGACATGCCTCACATTCTCAAATGTTGTGGGGAAATTTTTGTTTTCTGCTTGTAAGTTGCATGAGGACTGCACATGCATCTTTTTACATTGGATTGAGTTTTATGAATGAATTTTCTCAGATGATTTAATTGAAATTATTTAGGAGCATTACATATCTGCTCGGTTAAATTGCAGTTAAGTAGCTTGCCTTTACCATCCATCCTAATGCCTTAATGGTTACCCTTAATAGACTTTTAGTGCAAGAAAATTACCCTTAATGCAAACAAACAAAGAGCAAAATTGATTTCCATGTACTTCCAGAGCCTTCTCTGCTTCTCTTTCTATCCAAATAATTGCATGATCAGATGTGGCATTGCATGATAAGACAATATGTTCAAATCTTCCATCTACTGGTATGGCAGTTTTAACCTCTGGAGGATATCTCCCACATCTGTGTGCATGAAGCAATGGAGGTCTTAGTTTCAGAGCAAGCACAACTATTTTTGCTAGCAAATTACAAACAAACCTCTTAAGATGAAAAAAGAAGGGGAAAAAAAAGCTTCTTAAGCACTGAAATTACACAACAATTGACTTTGAGTACAGGAAACCTATTTATGATAGAGGATTTTTTCGGTCATTGAACATTCTTAAGCAAATAATAGGAAATTTTCCAAAATACAAAATTAAGAGGTATTGGCCACTACCAGCATTTGATCTGGATTTTTATGGCAATACTGAGAAAAGGAATTGCCACAAGGAATTCTTCTACATACTAGGCATAACTCAAATTGTATAATGATCATTATCACTAACCTAGACAGAAGAAAAATACTTATCACTAATATAAATTCCAAATTTGATCACGTAAAATATTGCCTCTCAAATTCTTGTACGGTAGTTAGAATTTACGAACTTGTTTTTATTTACCATTAGTCCTGACATTTGTGATGTTTGTTGAGATTTGCCTTGTTTGCAATTGCTTTGATAGGGCTAAGAACTCTTTTAGTTTTTCATGGCCTTTCCTATCAAAACTCTAATTTGGGGCACTTTCTTTAATTTTCATGGAAGATCTTGGAAAGTCTCTTAATTTGTTTTGGAAGTTTCTTAAATCAACTTTTTGGTAAGTTTCCATTTTCAGAAAGTTTAAATAAGAGAAGTTTCTTAAATTATTTTTGGAAAGTTAAACTATGCAGGTTTCCTAGTCTATCATTGCATTCTTATGATGTGTTATTTCCCTCTTTGGGCTTATTTTATGTTTATCTGTAGAAACAATAGATACCATACAAAGTAGAGGCCAATATTTGGTTGGGCAAAAATGGGTGCCTAACATCTTCCCACTTTGTACCTTAGCCCTTGAGTCTACGTGACAATGACGATTAGGCATTATCTCCATTTTTAACCAAGTGGAAACTCTTTTCTGATTTGAGCCTCTAGTTCTCTGTGAGTTACGTTGGTTTGCATAGGATGTCAAGAGGGGGACAATATGAATTAAAATTGTCCTTCTCACAATTTTATATCAGTATGTCTCTTTCCATGGGATTGAAATAGGGTATGGCTGACAAACTGACACTCTAGGAACTGAAGTGAAAGTAAGTGGAAATCAATTACATTACATTAAAAATTACCCTTAATAGACTTTTAATAAAACTAAATTGTAAAATTTTTTTAGCATTATTTCAGAAAAGTGGTCGTTTTCGAGGCTCGTATTATGGAAGGGGGGGCTACGGCTACGGCTACGGCTACGGCTACGGCTATGGCTATGGCTATGGCTATGTTGGGAGGGGTCGTGGCAGGGGGGGCATGTCAACTCGTGATTCCTAAGATAGTATGTGGTAGTTTCCAAATGTTTGGGTAGAAATTAAAGCTTGATTTAGGACTGTGCTTGTAATGTTTGTGCCTCTTACTATTCATCGGCCGAAAAATAAAATTAGGATTTGTGGTATTTTTTTACATGTCTTAAATCTCTTTGCTCTTAATCAACATTAATTTTTGTTTGTTTGTTTGTTTGTTTGTTTGTCTTTTTTCTTCTTTCTGGATATGCAGCTTGTCGTACAGAAGAATTGATGTAATAATATTAGTATCCCAATAAGGTAAGGTTGGTTCATATGATAAGCAGAAATTTGAAGTGAAATTTTACTATTATACAGTTAGCAAAAAACTGAGAGGTGAACAGGTTGAGATATACCTTGGCATTGGCTTTGCAATATAGTTGGAACCAAAATAGTTGGAACAAGATTTTGATTGGTTTTGTTTGTTTCTTATTTTTATTGTTTGTTTTATTATTATTTTAAAATTTTGTTTTGAACTGTGAAAAAGTGCGACGGAAATCAGTGGCAACCTACGCACAACCTAGGAGTGTGCCCCTCACTCCCAAGTCAGTGGATTTTGAATGGCTTAATAGAACAATTTTGATGGTCCTATGCATTTTCGGCACAGTTTAGATGGTACCAAGCATTGTGTGCCAATCAATTAGTGTTGACTAATATAGATGCTTAGTTTGTTATTTCATTTTATCAAGGCCTATATGTTCAGTTTATTTAAATAAATTTGTTTCTTTTTCTTACACTATATATATATATATATATATGATATTCCATGTCAGCTTCAAGTTTTTTTATTCTAGTATTTTTGTTTATAGTGATCATATATATATATATATATATTTTTTTTTTCTTACCATTATATTTTTCGGATTTTGTTTTACATGATCAAATTATATCTTATTGTGGTCTCTCTTGGTGCTATTCTAATAATCTGAGCATAGCAGTAGTTTCCTGGCTCACTGTTGTATTTTTTGTTTTCTTTCTCAAACCTGAAAAAAAAGTGAACATATTTGTCTTTAATTCTATCTTTATTGGTCTTACTAGAGAGCCATGTTAATATTCTCATCTTTAGTACATTGAATTTATTAATATGTTGTTCATTAATTTTCCATTTCATTACCCAAAAAGAAAGATAATTTTGTTAAGGGAAGAAATGGAAAATAATGTATGAATGTTGAGATTTTTGCAAATATGTCTTTACATTTATTGTATATAATATTTGAATATATATATATGATTGTTGGTATTTTTTTTTTGTTTTTGCGATGGTAAGAAGATGGTCGCTAATACATTGTAGGCATTTTTTAAACTCTTTTGCGACGACAAAATATCAGTCGCTATAAGTAGGTTGGCGGTCGCAAATAGTTTGTGACTGTTGTTTTGCGATCGCAAAAAGTATTTGCTACCCCCATATTCGCGACCCTCATTTGCAGTCACATGGGCCGTCGCAAAAAGTCTTTTGCGACTGTTTTTGTATTATTTGCGACGGCTTGTAGCGGTGGCAAAAAGTACTTTTTTTAGTAGTGATTGTTGGGTAAATTTGACAGATAAGATACCTTCAGGAGTACATCTGCGGCCAAAATTATGTAAGCCCACGTAATTTTCCTTAACAATACCATTATTGTAGACCAACAGAGTTGGAAGATTACGATCCGGATAGTTAGGAATACAATCAGTGGATGCTATCTTAACATATTTCGTTGCTGGGTATTTGGTTGCCAGTTCTTCCAAGCATTGCAGAAGAATCCCACATTTTGCGTATCTAACAAAAATTGAAGCAGAGATCAATACACGCATGAATAAGCATTTATGAATGCATCCACATCCAAAGACATGTATAGTGGACAGAATTGAGCTAAGCACCTAAGAAGAAACAACAATCAATTCCATAATGCTATGTTTAGATCTTGAATTTATCAACAGAAAAATAAATAAATAAATAAATTTAGCTTCTTTTTCTTTCCCTTTTCCTTCCCAAATAGCTCTACCACAAATCCATATCAAAGCATAACTCAAGTAATGCAACAATGGAAGTCTAAAATTTTTCAAAAAATAATTATTACCTACCCATCCTTGTACAAAATCACTACCACCCAAACATCTGGAGAAGCTTGGGAGACCTTGCGTACAAAATCTGATCCAGAAATGGAAATCACTGATCTATACCTCTGAACCTTAGTTGTTTCTGTTTCTGTACACAGATTCCAACGCTTCACCCAAAAAATTTCAGAGAGAGAGAGAGAGGAAGAGAAAGGGGAAGGGGGAAAAAGAAGAGGAAGAAGAAATACCAACTGTTCGCAGTGTGCGGTGTGGTACTGTCGCTGATCAGAGATGGGTGCTCGTGTGCAACGGTGGCTGGTCGGAGATGGGTGCTCCTTGCGACGGTGGCAGATAGCTCTCTATGGAATGAGAGAAACAGAGAGATGAGTGAGGAGAGAGAAGAGTATGAGCGTGAGATATTTTATATGAATGGTTATTGGCAACTAAAATTTTTTAGTCGCTGAAAGTATTTTATAAATCCCTCCAACATATTTGAAATGTCTCCCTCAAAAAATTTTAGTTCTTTGGCAACTAAATTTTTTTTTGTTGCTGAAAATAAACTTTTGGTGACCAAACTTTTGGTCGCCAAAGCTAAAAAATAATTTTTTATTTTCCATTCGGCGACTAAATAGTTTTAGTAGCCAAAACTCAATATACGGCAACTAAAATTCTTTTTTGTCGCTGGCAACCAAGTTTTGGTCGCCAAAGGTAAAAAAATAATTTTTTATTTTCCATTCGGTGACTAAATGGTTTTAGTAGCCTAAACTCAATATACGGTGACTAAAATTCTTTTTTGTTGCTAATTCTGGCATTTTTAGTAACTAAATTTTTTTTAGTCGCCAATAACCAATATACCTTGACTTCAAAAAATTAGTAGCTAAATATTTTACTTTTGCCGACTAGAAAAATTTTTGGTCACCAATTCTGCAACTTTTGGCGACTAAATTTTTTTTAGTTGTCAATTTTGGTCGCCGAATGTGCATTTTGTTGTAGTTTTTTGAGTGCTGTTGATGAATTTTTACAAGAGAATCTTGCTTACAAATTTGTGAATTTCCGGAGGAACCCCTTCCACCCAAGCATGGAAATTATTCACATGGAGTGCTTTGCAAGCCAAACCAACCATATTGCCAGTCCTCAACACATGGGTGCATTTTGCAGCTGAAAAACCAGACAAATTTTCTCGCACATTAGCAGCCAATAGCCCAACATGAGAGAGGTGAAGATTAGTTGATTGAATTGCTTTAATCACATCGAGAGTCACCTTCTAAAATAATGTTAATAAGCCCTAGGGTTTTTGAAAGGGTTTTTTTAAGTAGTGTAATTTAGAATTTTTGATTTGTTTATTATTTGGATGTATCTTGAAGGGTAATTTAAGGAAAAAATATATGATATATTGAGTGTAAATTATAACCCTAAATAATTAAAAAGAATGTACTAACAAATTATGCGTACTTAATAATTTTTTGGGTGAAAATAAAAACCTCCTAATCTGTGGTGCAATGCGTTGGTCGGGAAAAATCTTATTCAAATTGGGAGCCATGGCCTTGGGCATAAATTCCTTTGTTTATTTCTTTTTTGTGTAGTTGTTGTATTTTCAGTTATTATTGAGTTAGTGGTCAATTTGATATAATATTTTTTATATTTGTAATTAATCTCTTATATTGACTTTAAAAAAATGCTTCAAGTTATAATGTTAACACATTATGTTTATAGTTGAATAGAGAATGACAAGAATAATTTATTGACATGTGCAAAGCACTACTTAAAGCAAATTGTGATGTGGCTCTTCGTTCGAAGTCTTCTAAGGGGACCATTGCAGTTTTGCGTCGTGATGATCGTGGTTGCCTTGTGGATGGTTTGGTTAGAGAGGTTTCAATTTCTTCAGTAATCCAAGGGAAGCTTTAGCCGTTCGACTTGTGTGTCTTATGGTTAGCTCCTTGAACCTATCCTCGGTGGAGATTGAAGGGGATAACAAGAGGCGTATTCATTTTTGTGTGATGCTCCTCCTTGGGAGTTTTGCACTATTATTGTTGATATTAGGGCCTCGTTTGGGAACAGGTTAATTTAGTAATTTTTTGGCTATTTGGCTAAAAAAGTAGGTAAAAAAAACTTATATGTTTAGGATGACTTTTTGGCTAATTACGAAAAGATGTGCAAAAAATAGAGAGAAAAAAGAATCTTTGACTTTTTGGTATGAGTTGCTGGCTTTTTGGCTAAAAAGGTAACTTTTTGACTTTTTGGCTAAAAAGGTAAGTCCCCAAACGGGGCCTAGGTCTTTTGCTAGGCAATTTCAGTTGTCTTTTTCTTGGTGTTCTAGGAATGCCAATGGATAACCCAAGCTTTTTTAGGTGGCTATCTTCCTTGAAATTAGGTTTCTGCCTCCCTGTAGCTTTGTTGGCAGTTCTGTCTAAATCTTAATAGAGTGGTAGCTTCTTTCGTTCAAACCCAAAAAAAAAAAAAAAGTACTGCTTGACTCAAATTACTTCACCTACATTCACGGCATGGAGAAGAACGATTCAATCAATTCTTAACATTAAACCGTCGTGCCAAGAGGGCAAGAAAATCATACCTAAATGTTTATCTACCCCCAATAGACTTGACTTTGATTATTCAAATTTGGACAATTATATGCCCCACACACCATACCTACTTTTTGAATATGTCCATACATTATATATAAAAGATTGGGGAAACTACACAAAAGTGTAGTTTTCCAACCCAAAAAAATAAAAATAAAAATAAATTAAATTAATGAAAAATTTTATTAACATTAACAATTAAATTTACAATTTTTTTCATTAATTAGTAAATATTTTGTCCAATTCCAACTTAAGTGTAATTTTCCCTAAAAGATTTGCAATCATAAAATTGCAATTTCTTTCTCAATTTTCCACCCAAATTGCAATTTGACATTGTACCCAGAGCATACTCTAAGGTAGTACTTCCTTCCTTAATTCCAAAATTTTGAGGAAAATCACTGCTTAAGTACTTCTGTCACTTTCAGGGCACATCAATTGAGAACGATTTCCACATTTCGACATATACATCCAAATGTGCAGAAAATAATGGAATAGACAAGTCATGAGTGATTATTTTGTAATCTTGAAACATTAGTCTATAGTATTCGTCATTTGATACTTGTCAAGTTATTTTTAAAAAATTTAATAATAAATATTAAGTCTTATTATTTTAACGAATAAGTATCAAATAAAAACATTATATGAATTTGACCCAGAAGCAAAAATAATCTTTCCTAAATCATATAAATAATTGTATAGGATCAATAATTTGCCTTTGCCATGTATAAAAGGCAACGAGTCTTAATGAAACATTTTTTGTTTGTGCAATACCATGACTTAAGACTTCAGGTGTCCTATTTGCCATTCTTTTATCCAAACACGTGCTTTTATTGAAAAGTTGACTCTTTAGACTATTTTTGTCGTTAAGTACCTGTATTCCGAAGTTGTTTACCAAAGGCTAACCTGAGTAAGGCTTGAATTGCCCATAAATTCTTTTTTTTCCAAGTTACTTAATTTGTTAAAATTAGACTTTATTAATATTTTTTGGTAATCATTAGTAATATAAAATCAAATAATTTATCTAATGTTAGTGAGATGGAGAACAGAGAGATAAGAAATGCAAAATATGTTAAGGAAAATCGATGATTCCCCACAAGTAAATCAATCAATGGGAATAAAAATTAATGCAGGAAAATTAAATCAAAAGCAACACAAGAATTTTACGTGATTCCCTCAATGTGAGGTACGTCCACGGGATCGAAATTCGATTCCACTATCAACCAAAAAGTTTCCAAACGATTACAAACGAGATACAAATGGTCTCACAAAATCACCCTTAGGTGAACTTCAAATAATCACAAATAAATAAAAGGAAAGACCTCACCAAAAAGACGAACAAAAATCTTCGAAACAAATTTGTAGAAGATCCAAAATAATAGACCAAACCACCTTTAAATCAAATCAGCCAAAGATACACAAAAATAATGTCCAAAGCAGCCAAACCTTGAAACCAATGAATTCTTCCAACACACTCACCGAATTGAATTTATATGAAGACAAAACTGCTACCCTCTACTTCGGAAGAAACAATATCAATGTCAATATATATATATACATATATTGTGAATCTAGCACAAGTAAATCAATCAATGGGAATAAAAACTAATACAGAAAAATTAAATCAAAAGCAACACAAGAATTTTACGTGGTTCCCTCAATGTGAGGTACGTCCACGGGATCGAAATTCGATTCCACTATCAACCAAAAAGTTTCCAAACGATTACAAACGAGATACAAATGGTCTCACAAAATCACCCTTAGGTGAACTTCAAATAATCACAAATAAATAAAAGGAAAGACCTCACCAAAAAGACGAACAAAAATCTTCGAAACAAATTTGTAGAAGATCCAAAATAATAGACCAAACCACCTTTAAATCAAATCAGCCAAAGATACACAAAAATAATGTCCAAAGCAGCCAAACCTTGAAACCAATGAATTCTTCCAACACACTCACCGAATTGAATTTATATGAAGACAAAACTGCTACCCTCTACTTCGGAAGAAACAATATCAATGTCAATATATATATATACATATATTGTGAATCTAGGATTTTTTTTTTATCAAAACTCCAATTGTTACCAAATTAAATTGGGTCTCTACAAATTAGATATAATATATATAAAATATATTATACCCAAACCAAACCAAATTAAAATTCTTTTAACAAACCAATTGGGTCTCAAACTCCAATGAGGTATACCCAACAATTCTCCCCCTACCGACTTAGGTGGAGACATCAACCATACCCGTCAAAGTTTGACACTTTAAATGTTTGTCTCTCGACAAAGTATTTGTCAACATAT